TGACATGTTCGTACGAACCCTTTGTACGAACAAAAGTAAGAGAAATTTAGGATAAGAATACGAACATGTTCTTGCATGAGGCCCATTGAGTCACTCTGAGGACCAAACTCCTTCAAGGTGGAGATGTTTCACAGTGGCGCTAATGCTCTACTTAACTTTTACAAGATATTATAGAGAAATAAAATCTGTTTGAACCTCTGCTTATTACAGTTTTAAAGAAAGGATTATTCAGAGGATAGCTTTTTCCTTCTTTCTATTAGAAACTCTCAGCCTTTAGTAATTTGCCAAAGCATGATGTGGCCACATTAAAAGGAGCATCTTCAAAATGATCATTAATTTTTAGACTTTTAAGGTGTGTTAACCTTTGGATGTACACATACGGTAATGAATAGATCAAATATATAACATATGAGTTAATTAATAGTCTTTAAAAATATTTCATAAGTTGGCCTAAGTTGTCTAAAATGTCTAGAACTACTTTAATTTTTTAAGTCTAAAACCCTTCATAAACTTCAGATTTTACAGGAATCAGAAGAACCTTGCACACTCCCGTCTGCAACATGTTTTTCCTGTCTGTACAACGGTTTTGCATGTTCACTACAGGGAGTTTCAAAGTATGTAATAACTCTGTCATTTACTTCCACATTTACACCATCTAACTGTGAGCATTTTCTATCCTTTCAGTGAAACACACAGACAGTAGATGAAGAGGAGGAAGACGAGCCACAAAGCCATATGTTTTATGCTCAGCAGGAGATCGCTGACCCCTATCACATAACCATGGTCAAGCTGCAGGGCCTTTGTGTGAGCCACTAACACCTTGCAGCTTTTTAAGATAAGGCTTCACATTCATCTTAAAACAATTAAATACAAAACAATGTTAAAAAAATCAGACAGAATAAATTCTGAGTGCTGAATGATATAATTTTGTTTAACAATAAACTGTTGAAGTTGAAAGAAGTAGAACAGGAGATAAAGGTGGCAAATCAGCTCTAAAAGCTAAATTGGTCAATTAGTTAATCTAATTAAAATGAGCAAAACTGATGTACAGAGTAAAATTAGCAAAACCAATAATGTGTTTAATAAAATTGTAGGTAAAGGCAAATAGTAGCAAAACAATAGCTAAAATTAGCCAAAATGTAGATAAAAATGATACCTAAAAGCTATATTAATAAAATAGTTCTTTCAACAAAGAAGAATTTGTCCAGAGGACCTGAGTCAACCTTGTTACATTTTTCTACCTGGATTATTTAGATCAGGGGTTCAAGCCATTTGGGTCTGGGGACTCCTTACAAGGGCGAAAAAAATTCCAGGGACCCCCTCATAAACCTCATGCTGTTTTAAAAGATAATTTATTGTCATTTCAACCCCTAAATAGTTTATTATATTTGTTTTATTAGTTCATTGTTCTCCATGCATTTTTAAAAATACAAACCAAATTAACATTTTAGTAAAATATTTCGAGGACCCCAAAGATACCTCTTGCGGACCCCAGTTTGAGAACCTCTGATTTAGATGCATCAGGACATCATTGATTCCCCCTCAGTAATAGATCTGTTAGTTGTTGTTGTTTGATCCTAGCTGCTGTCACAGAACAACACCCCCACTGCCTCGGAAGACAGCAAGTCGGTCAGAACGAGTCCAAGTCTGAGTTTGAGGTATTTTATGAAAAACCATATAGAAACAAACAATCTTTCATACCCTGACTCACACCTAGGGACAGTTTAGAAATACGGTTAAATAGCACAAAGTGTATGGAAGTAATCTGACAGCAAAAAGCTGACAGAAGAAACTATAAACAAGAAAAGAATAAGCRGTAMTGCTGACTCGGCATTCACACAACAAAAGCTTCTTCRTTGTGAGCAGCAGCTGTTTGCGAGGCCACAGATGGAGAGTGGCAACAACAASAAAGCTCAACGTTTAGTTTTACTGCTGCCCGCTCGGCTCAGACATTTAATGAATTTTAAAGAAGCTGAGAAATTAGAGAAAGCATTGTATCCCCTCAGGCGGAACACATCGTGCACACTTTCACTAATTATCAGCTGAGGACAGCTATTTGGATCACAAAGGAGATAAAGCATGTCCACAAGGTAATGTTTGCAGTTTTACAAGGACAATACAACACCTGAGTTGTGTGTTATTGTCCAATTCAGTAAGAAAGAAAGCAGATCCGGCTCTGTGGACAAATATCAAGGTTAGCCTACAGGGTGATAGAGAGATCAGGGTGTGATGAAGACTGCTGTGGTGTGACAACAGACGGTCTGTTTATATCATTTACGTCAGTTTCTCCTGCACTTCTTTACAACTTTGTTTCTTTAGAGCAAACAAGGTTGCAGTCTCTGTCAAAAACAATCCTATTTGCAAAATAATTAAAATATTTCCCTTTTTAATCAACCACCACTGACGGTGAAACGTGACAGTCGCTGAGAATTATCCCCAACATTCTGAGTGCTTACAGATCTCACACACACGACAGGCCCTGGAGCAGTGTGGTTATCCTGACTGGGCTTTCCTGAAAGCAGACAGGAAACACAGACAGGATTCCAGGCAACCTTCAGTTAAAAATGAAGACCCCAAACCCAGACCCAAACCAGTGGTTATTCCATATGTTGCGGGTGTTTCGGAGAAACTGAGACATTTATTTTCTAAACATGATGTCCCAGCAGCTTTCAAACCCCAAAACACATTATGGCAAAGGCTGGTTCACCCCAAAGATCCGGTGCCCCGGCACAAACAGAGCAATGTTGTATATGCTGTTAAGTGCCAGGAGGACTGCGACCAGTTATACATCGGGGAAACAAAGCAGCCACTGTTCAAAAGAATGTCCCAACACAGACGAGCTACATCTAATGGCCAGAACTCTGCAGTTTTCACTCATTTACAGGCCAGCRGTCACTCTTTCAGAGATGAGGATGTTCTCATTCTTGATAGAGAGGAACGTTGGTTTGAGAGAGGAGTAAAAGAAGCCATTTTTGTGAAGAAAAACCGTCCATCATTAAACAGAGGTGGAGGCCTCCGTTTTCAGTTGTCCCCCTCCTACAGTGCTGCTATTGCCAGTATCATTCCACCCTCTGTTAACAATAGGTGTTAATTAGGTGTCAACGATAGCCATGTGATGTATCAGTCACATGGAGGCAGGGCTTAAAAGCCTGAATTTTGCCTGAAACTCTCAGACTGAAGAAGTCTCTTGGAGGAAAGACAAAACGTTTCATTAGAGAAGAACCCGTCCAGAAGACCTATACAATTTTTTTCTTTTTGATTTTTTACCTGGATTACTGAGATGCATCAGGACATCTCATGATGACATTGCTCACATCATTTGCAAGAAATGACCCCAACAACTACACTTTCTCATCTTCGTTCAACGTTCTGGCATGAAAGGTGGCGAATGAGATGCAATCCTTTGAGGAATGCAAGGCTTTTAATTTGACAGCAATTATTTGTTTTTGAAATAAATCTTTTACAAGTTGGCTGCAGAAAATTTGGCATGAAAATCTTAAGTAAATTGAGATTCAGTTTCTCTTTTTTTAAGCGACTGAATGTTCACAGTTCTCCAGTGGTGATTTTCTTGCAACAAGTGGTTCTGGTAATGTTGAAAAGATGCAGCACACCTTCACTTTTAGAGATGGTTTAACACAGAGGTCTTCAAACACGTTCCTCATAACCCCGCCGTCCTACATGTTTAACATTTCCCTGCTCCTACACACCTGATTCAAATAATTAATTGCTCAGAATGTCATCAAGCTTAGCAGAAGCCTGTCAATCACTCATTCATTCATTTCAATCAGGTGTGTTGAAGCAGGGGAAACATCCAAAACATTCAAGAGGTTTAACCTATAATCTTTTTATAACACATATACATTTAAAGCACTTTACGGTTAGCCACTAAATCAACAAGCTTTGATACCTATATCATTTTTGTTACACAAAATACACTAAATAGTGTCTTAAAATTCACCTGTGATCTAAACTTCACGGAGTATTAACCTCATCTCACCACCATTTATTGCTGGAAAAACAAAAGAAAACCACTGCAACGAAAACAGACACAGCAGCTAACTACTTCCTCGTAAGTTAATTAACTTTTATTAATCGATCCTGTGTGGTCAAACCGGATGCAGGATAAGGTGAGCAGCTGCTGAAAACGATGAACTGCAATAACACTCTGAGMTTATTTACCTCTGTATGTTGTAAGACACTAAGAATAACGGTTATTAATTATCATTAAATTATTATTGTTTTTCATGCAAGTACAAATGTGAAATACTAACCATTATTGTCCGAGGTAGCAATTCTCCATTCAAATCAACAACAAAATGCACAGCTAGATGCCTGTTAGCCACAATTAGCATTAGGTAAAGTTTCCGTACCTGACAGCCTTTTTTGTGGTGAAACCCAACAACCACGATGTGCAACACCGGACCTTTCCCTTCGTCTCTGCCGTGAGACTCCATTCCCCCTTTTAGTGTTCTGTCCTTCGGCCCGGGGGTTCGGACGTAAACACAACAAACAGAGCCRAGTTTCAAACCCGAATCATACGTTTCACTCACAAGGAACAGCAGCACAGCCAGGAACCTGATAGCCAAAAACACTGACAAGAGAGTTCCCTACTGCTCACTTCCGTATTCGCTTTGTGAAAATCAGAACTGTGTTAGAGTTTAAAATACRTTATAGGATTCTAAATATTTTAAACTTAATTTAGATAAAATGGCTATATAATTATAGGAAATCAGAACTGTGTTAGAGTTTAAAATACATTATAGGATTCTAAATATTTTAAACTTAATTTAGATAAAATGGCTATATAATTATAGGAAATCAATATTTTCTCTGGAGATGAAGACAACACAAACGTTGCTCTGAAATATTGGACAGCAATCATCGCTGCAGAGCAGTTAACTATCTTGACTTTCTAATGTTCATTGTGAACACGAAATTACGTCATGTAATAATGATTACGACCAGCTTCACCTCATTGCAGTTTCATATGGAGTTACCCAAATTAACACAATTTTAATGTCAGTAATTTATTTTTCGTTCTTTTTTTTTTAAAAAACCGATACCATTCCGGACAAACCAATCGAACTGAAGAACGGCGGAAGAACATTCGAAGTTTGATTGTTTCTCCTGACGTGATTTTACTCTTTTATCGATTAGTTTTGACTGCAGCAGTCTCTTGAAGAACATGGCGGCCACTCAAACGACTAACCCGTCACAGCTGCTCCCGCTGGGTTTGTAAACTCTGAATTAAACTGTATTTCCGCTTCAGATAGCAAATGGTTTAGATATGAATTAGAAACAAAACGTGAAAGTCGTGATTTGATTAGTAGCAAACTAACGGTCGTGATGTTTTAGTGTTAAATATCTCTTCAGCGGGTTAGCAGCTCGGTCAGTGTGTGAATGAATCGACAAATGTGAAATAAGTCAGAAAATATAACGGTAGGAGTTAAAAACGTGATTAGCTGATTGGAAAACGGTAGRGTAGAGACTATTATTCATGTAAATGAAAATGCAGTTCTTGTTTTACCTGACTGAGCTTGTTATGGTATTTTCAATTCGTTTTTTGCTATAAACATTGTGTAGTGATTAGTACTGATTTTGGAGCAGTTCCTCCTTTTTAGTCCTTCGCATAGTGGTCATTTTATGTATGGGTTTGTGTTGTATTGACTCATATTACCCACTTTTAACCCACCTAACTCTTCCTGAGTTATCACACATACYGCCACCTACTGGTCAACCACGGTAAATGCATTAAACCTTTTTTTTTCAAACCAAGACTGAACACCAGACTTCTGGACCGTGTCCACAGGAATCGATGCATCAATAACTTTTCATCTTTTATTTTTAACAAGTCACAACAAGTTATGTGAATTATTTTATTTTCTCTAATAATAYATCCATGCAATTAAATTTTAAAATATGAGCAGTAAATTCTTAATTTTCAAAGAAAAGCTACTTAAAAATTAGGGCTGCACGATATTAGGAAAACCTGCAATATGCAATAAGTGATTAGTATTGTGATGAGAATATGACTTGCGATAAATGAAAAAATGCATAAAGTAGTAATGTAGTGTTGATGTCTTTCTGCTCTGGGTTCAAAGCAAAAAA